TGGTCTACATCAGCCATGAGCAAACTTTAACAATGATCTGTGTAGCAGCAGTTTTGACTACTCACTAACACAACAGACATACAGATATCTGTATCGTTCACACATTGCAGCTGGGTTGATTTGGTGGCAAACATGAAACCTTCCAGATGTTCTGGATCGCAACTCCCATCCTCCTTGAGCTGAGCATGCTGGCTGGAGCTGATGGGAGTTGCAATTCAACAATATCTGGAGGACCCAACACTGACTACCCCTGCGGTAGAACACAGGCTGGCAGTCCAGCTGAGACTCTGGTCAATTTAAGAAGCAGTTATGCTCAAAACCACTACTATTTTCTTAACAGAGAGGGGAAACGCACCCATTGCTGATAAGGCCACAAGCATTTTGGAAAGGTGGAAGCAAAGATGTCAGCACCTGTTCCACCCCAGCTTGTGCAGCTCTCTTCAGCAACCTATGCAAAGAGGACCATTGAGAAAGTTCACAAACAGCACTGCTCAACAGCTACTACACACTCTTTGCAAGCGGCATTTCAGGGCTACAATAAAGGGGTGTGTTGTATGTATCACAGGGTCTCTTATGGAGCACCGCACACCATGGCTAGCTGGATCTCTGCGCTATTATGTCATAGTGTTGCACTCAAGATTGATTTATTCTCTTAACCAACTTCCAAACTTCTTGTCAACCAGGTGTTTCTACTTCTTACCAAGAATGGAAAGGTCAAGCCACAAGCAGGTCAAGCCCATTTGCTATTTAACATCTAGACACTAGAGGCTATGCTCTTTCAGGCTTGGAACTTGCCTCCAACCATTTACACTTTCCAGCATCACACACCACCAGGCAGAAGAGACTTCACAAGCATGCATTACAAAGTTGAAGGACCCATTTCTTCTGCTGTCTGTATCCTGGAAGTGTCCACTCCCAACTGCTTCACATAGCTGTACCACTACTGGAATGAGGGTCAGGCCAGTGTTAGCCCAGTAAATGTTATGACGTAAATGGTTGTTCTAGATTGCAAGTAAGATATAACTATACAGTACTACGGTTTTTTATATATAAAAAACTGATGCCTTGCTAGATGCTTTAACTTTTCTTCTGATCCTTAAAGTGCTGGATGGAATGCAGAATTCAAGACTCTCCAACCATAGCCAAAGCTATCACTAATATGGCACGCTCATCGAACACTTTCCCACTGAACTCAATGAAACTTTAAAACACTTCTACAATCAGGTTGCAGAGCAAAATCACTTTGGGAAACTTAAGCAGGGATGGCCTTATCATTAGGCAAAGTAAGGCAACTTGCCTCAAGCAGATGCTATAGCAGCTCCTATGCTATTCCTCCTAAGCCCCCATTCCCTCTCTTGGAGAATAGAGTTGTGAATATTACATGGCATAGCATGTCCCACCCAAACTGTCAAATCAGTGCTAATTCAAAACTGCCTGTTCAGTTCGGTTACCTTATCGGGAGGGCAAACTTCTTTGCTTCAGGCAGCAAAACATCTTGGGCCAAACCTCAGTTTAAATTATGTGGTATACTATGCATTGTAGAATTCAACAGCCACCCCGATCTCCCCCCGCCAAAAAAAAATAGGTCAAAATCACAGAGACCCTGAGGGAGTTAAGGCATCACTGTGTCACTGAAAAGGTCAACCAACAGAAATCACCAAGGTTTATATTGTTTATTGCTCCCTACTTGCACACACAAAAGATGGCTATGCATGTGTGTTTGCTAAATAATTCATAACATCTGGGGACTGCTGGCCTAAACATTTGCTAACATCTTGCCACAAGCATAGAAAGGAGCATCTCTGTTCAGGCTCACAAGTCAGGCACACAGGCTTATTCAAGTAAGCGTGAAGAAGGCCACCTTGGAATCTGCCCAGAAAAAAAGAAGTTAAAACTACAGTTAACAGGACAAGTTTATCCTTGTCTATTGCAGGAGGGGAACGAGAAGCTGCACAAGAGAGCCGCTTATAGAGAACTTGGCAAGGCAGCATGAAATTCAAGCAAGCAGAGGGAAGAGAAGCGTAACCCTAGCAGTTTCCTTTGTCTGGAACTCTAGTTCAGAGCTCTTTGTGAAGCTGAATTTCAATCAGTCCCATTGGGTGGGAGGCAGCAACCCTCTCTCTCACCCTTGAAACAGTCACAAGGGACTGCAGAGCACATCATCCTCCCATGGCAAAAGGGAAAAGGAATACCCCCCCCCCTCAAAAAAGGGGAGGTGAGAGAATCTTCTAAGGCTGGAAATGATCGATAGGCAAGAAAGCATACTCTGCAGCTGTCGCTTTGGGATAACAGACTGGTTACAAAGTGGGCTTTTTTGTGTGTGGGGGGGGGAGTTAGTACATAAATACACAGCCACTGCCTTCATACATCAAAGGAACTTTTAACTTTTTGAGCGGGTGCAGCAATCTAATATTCCAAGTCACCCACGACTCTCTTCAGTGGAGACAGAAAAGCACAGAAGATTTCAGAGCCACACTCACAAACCTCCTTCCTGCAACAGCAGAGACACCCTACAGGGCTACCTTCTCCTTTTCAAACGCCTCCTTTCCGAAGTGACCTCCCTCCCTCCCTTGGATCCGCACAAGCTAAAACAAATGCTTCAAAGCCTTGCAAGCGCGCCTGCCAGCAGAAGTTGTCGACTACCCCTTTGGGGAAGAATTTCCCACGCTGATCCACGCGGAGGCCAGAGGAGAGCTGGTTTGTTTGGGCTTCTCCTTTGCTTTAGGATTTAGCGCTTGCCAAAACTGCTACTCGCTCCCTTCCAAGCGCGTTTATACCTAAGCAAACTCCAGGATTGTGTGCGGCTTCCCGCAACTCTCCCTTCTCACTGGCTCGCGCTTTGGTCTCTGCGTACAAACACACAACACACACACCGAGCTGCAGTACTCATCCCCGAGCCGTAGCGTTCATTCACGGAATTTTAAAGAGACACGCTCGCTTTTTGTCGAGACAATGGGAAAGCCTCCCTCCGACAAGAATAAAAGAAGATGCTAGCTAACTGCATCACCTCGGCGAGGGAGCGTACGCACTCTCCAAATGCCAACCCAATTAGCCTCCTCTTTGCCCAGCTAGGATGATCAAAACCAAATAGCGATTCCAGTCGATTCTTTCCCATGCTGTCCCTCCCCGCCCTCGCTCCCTTTTTCCTCCCTTGGGAAAAGGCATTGATGGGAAAGGGGAGAGATGGGAGGAAGGGGGGCGGCGGCCAATCAATGGGTTGCAGATGCATTAGCCCAGAAAACAACGGCGGCTCGCTGCCTCCCAGCCCTACAAACATTCGCAGTTCTGCAAAAAGCCGCTCCTTATTTTAGAAAGTCCAGTTCTGCAACGCTGCGCTCTGCAAGGGGATTTTGTCCGAGGGAGGAGCTCTTGATAAGAAACCCCCTTGTTCTTAATTTACAGAGAATTCTCCACACGCACCTTTTTATTGCCTTTCTTTAAAAAAACAAACCTCCAGAACGTCACCTGAAAATAGCAAGGAAGCAACAACGGAAAGGGGTTGCAAAAGCAAACAAGAATCTCTGAGCTAGCCAGAGAAAGGCAGATGAAAGGGAGGCGCTTTCTTCCCAAGAAGAAAAGGGCAAGACACTCCCTTCCCGCAAAATTTCCCTGCAAAGGGAAGTTGAGAAAGCAGCGGCAGCAAGGTTAAGTAGACAAAGATCCTCCTGGCAAGGCAGGGTTTCCCCTTCTTCCGACGGGCACCCTTTACCCCACGCCGTCCCTTTCCCGTACACACCCACCAAACCCTCGGAGGACACCTGGCGCCTCCCTTGGCGCGTCCCCCCCGAGGCCAGCAAGCCAGGCACCCCGCCCCTTCTCACCCGTACCTACTCGGGACCCCTTGGCTCGACGGGAGGGCTTGCTATATGTTACCGGCTCAGCTGCTTCGTTGCTCCGTCCCCGCATTTCCACCCCATGCCCGCGCCTGCCCAGGGCTCCCCGCCGGCGCGTTCCTCTCCGGCTTCAGACTGCTCAAGCTCCCTCCCTCCTCCCCGCTTCCCCGCCCCGCCGTCCAAGTCACCGACCCGTCTGTGACGTCGCGCCACCCAAAGGCCAATAGGCGAAGGCGACGTCATCAGGCTAGTCCGGGTCTCCTCCATTCAAAATCTGAATGCCTCGCTCCGGCTCTTCCCGGTGCCTTGTAGAGGTGGAGGAGGAAGGCAGGGCAAGGGCGGGGGGAGAGCCAGAAAGGGATTGACACATCGCTCAGCCTCGCTAATGGGGTTTCCTGAAAGTTCAAGGCTTTTGTGGGATTTGTGTTGTCAAGCAGGCGAGCCCACGTTACCCGAAGCCCGCTGCAAACTCGGCGGCGTCGGAATTAGCTTGCCATTGTCTCAGCGAAAGGCATACTTATTTTTTCGCCCGGCATAGGGAGTCCCTGAACAAAAAGGCCAGCAACAAAATCAGGCGGGGGCAGGGCAGATGCTCATCTCTGCGCTGTTTCAAAGCACTGCTTTCCAGTCTACCTTTCTCGATTTATGGCAGTCAGGCAATTATAGCCCGCCCACCCCCTACTCTACTCTTTTAACTGTAAGGGCTAGCCAGCCGCTTTTAAAAAATGAAACAAGAGGTCTAGAAGTACAGTGGTACCTCGGGTTACATACACTTCAGGTTACAGACTCCACTAACCCAGAAATAGTACCTCAGGTTATTAACTTTGCTTCAGGATGAGAACAGAAATCATGCTCCGGCGGCACGGAGGCAGCAGGAAGCCCCATTAGCTAAAGTGGTGCGTCAGGTTAAGAACAGACCTCCAGAACGAATTAAGTACTTAACCCAAGGTACCACTGTATGTGACCAGAATCTAAGATTCTGCATTACAAGGTTAAGACAAAGCCCATTTCTTTCTTTTACCCTTTAAGAATTATAATTTACAATTATACATTGCTTTGGGATGCCTCATGGGAATTTATTCATAACTATTAAGTTTTATGTATTCACAATAAATATCTCACCTTTCAATGAATCAGGGCCAAGGTAATTAACAATTTAAAAGAGACCAGCAAAATATCAAATTCAAAAATAGATATAAGCAAAATACAGACAAATGAGCATGGAAAGTGTTATCCATATAAATAGTAGTGAGATATGTGGATTTCCTTTACCATACAATTTATTAGCAAGCAATGTACAGTAAATGACAGATCTTTAAAATTCCAGACTCCTATCATGGCCAATGGCCCAGGGATAATGGAAGTTGTAGTCCAATAATGTCAGGAGGGCCACTGGTTCCTCACTACTGCTCTATAGCCACACAACAGGATGTACTGAGTACAAGACTGGGTCAATTATTTCTTCACTGTGGAGATTAACATTTGCTACGCTGCTGGTTTATGGAACAAGCCACTGGCAAAGCATAAAACAGACAGGAGGAGCTCCTGCTTACTACTCATCCAACACTTCCTCTGTGCTTTAGTGCTAGCCTTGTGGCATTTTGCCAAAACTGCTCCCTGTTCTTCCATCTCCACTTGGACAGCAGCCCACTGGTGATGGTTAAAAGGGAATCCCAATCTGATGTGTCATCTGATGGAGACAGCTTTTATTGCTCCCATATGTACTTCCAGTAGAAAGAAATTGAGCCGCCTGCAATTTTAACACCAACATTGATTCTGGAGGGATGTCTCACGCAAACGATATGTTTGCAGATAACCGTTCTGTTGGCCCACAGAAAACATACTTGACTTGAGGTTTGCAGTGCAGAACTACACGGAGTCAGTTGGGCAGGGTATTGAAAGCTGAGACAGAAAGAAAGTAAAATAATGGTATAGTGAATTGGAACAAGATCCACTTAGTCCAGCATTTTATTTCCAACCACAGATTGACAGATGCCTCTGAGGAACTCTGAAGAAGGGAAGTGAAGCTGTTGGCCTTTACTTGTTGTTTGTTATTAGCATATAAACCTGGAAATTCCAGGTAACTGTCATGGCTGTTGAGAGAGCCACCATGGATTTGCCTGTTCCAGGGGTGGAGTGGGCTATTGCCCCCCATATGCTGCTGGACTACAGCTCCCATCTTCCCTGAGCATTGGCTATGCTGACAGGGGCTGATGGGAATTTGGGTCCAACAACATCTGGAGAAACACAGATTATACCAGCCCTGGCCTAATCCTTTCTAAAGAGGTCTCAGGGAGTGGATCTCTTCATAGTCAATACCATTAATTATTCATGTTGCTTGAAGAAAATGGTCAAAGTTAGTCCAGTGATATAGATTGCAGTCCTGTATGCAGTAATACTGTAACTTGGAGACAGGTTCCATTGACATTTACGGGACTCATTTTGTACATTGCTGGAAAACAATTAAGCATTTTTTAAAAATGTAAATAAATAGGACTAGCTTTCGAGCAGGCAATTTTTGCCCCCTTTAACCAGATTAAATGGCAAAGAACAGAGTCGTATTTATAGCTCCACTGACACGTCATGCCCTGGTCCTTTTCAAGCACCTTGTTCTTATGTCCATTATAGTTCTGATGTAGGAGTGCCACTTGTTGTCACATGGGCTGTCTAGGTTCATATATTTCATGCTAAGTAAGCCCTTGTGTTTCCATCTGAATAGTTTCCAATACTCTGTTGAATATCATAACCTCCATAGGTGGAACCGGTGATGGTGAGTGGTTTATGATCCACATTTTTAATCATGAGAAATCTGAGGCATGAACCATGAGTTTCCCCAGGTGTTCTGCTGGAGCAGGAGACAGGCACAGTTCTCCCAATCTGCTGTCCGACACAACTCTCTTCTTTCTATTTGGAGAGTAACAGTTCTTGATTTGTAACTCCAGCTAATTTTAACTAAAAGTGCACACAGTTTGGAGAGTACCCCAGTCAGTGCTGGTGTACTGCATGTCTGTATGAGACACAGCAGTCAGGAGAGATTAAAATCAGTCTCTTGAGCTGGGCTGGAAATGCTGGATGTTTAGATACCTAAAGGGAACTTGGCAGAACAAGCATGTGGTGGAGTTGAAAAGCTGCCCATTGGGCAGCAGCCAGTCTTGATGCTCAGCCACTTGGGCTTGCCAGTGGTTGGCACAGAGGCCTGAGGGCATGGAACCATTTTAGGATCCCATTTTAGGAGATGCTTGCCTGCTGCCAACCTCTCAGCTGCTCCTTCAAGAGAAGAGCTTTGAAAAACCCATTTGACATCCTTTTGCTCAGATTAAGTATTTTATTTTAGCCACTCCAAAGGACACAATGGAAAAGAACTGGGGAGGGAAACCATTGATTGATGCTATTTTCTTCTTTTTCTAGGCAGATAAAACAAGCCAGACCTCTGGATTCCTCTGAGCAGTAATTAGACCCGTGAAACAATTGCACAATGGCCTTATCTAATTAAATGCACTGGTAGCCAGGGGAACCCTTTTTGGAATGACACAACCTAATAAAGGTGGGTTTTCTCTCCTGGCTCCATTATCTTCCAAAATGTATCAAAGAGTGAAAGAAGCAGTGCTAGTTGTCCTCTGTTTTATTGTTCCTCTAATAAATGTGTTACTAAATTTCAAACTGGTACATTTTAACATTATTCATTTAACTAAGTGCCTTGAGAGAGGCTTAAAACAGTTTGAGCAAATACAACAAGGAGCTGTTATTTACAGAGACTCTGCATGTGAAGAATTTATGTTGGATTCAAATAATCTGGAGTTTTAGATTAATGAGAGAAAGATAAAGGACTTGGTAAACACCTGCTCTCTTTTGCATGTGGTGGGAGCTGATTCTTAACATTTCCAAGATTGTGTGTCCCCCCCCCCCCAATTTCGGGGCCCTAAGCATCTCAGAAGCCACTTTTGTTTGTCAGAATGTGAATGCACACATTTGCAGAAATCATCCCACTGTTACAGCCTATCCTGTGACATCTGTCACCATCTGCAGATCATGACCGCTTATCTTGTTTCAGGTATTTGGTAATTTCTCCAGACTGGAGAGAATGGCTGCTGTTCCCCTGTCATGTGATAATGTATCAGTTCCCGAGATTTTCAGCAAAAGAGTTTTTAAGGTACCTAGACCAAGAAATGCACCACACCAGATTGCTCCTTGTAACTGATTGGTGAGAAGCCCTGGCCTACAGAGGAATTATCTTAATGATTAAACTATGCTTTCACTTATCTCCAGCTTATATGCAAGACCAAGGCAGTCAGGTATCTGAATCATTCACCTTGCTCTTCTGAGTAGGTGATTTGAGGTGAGCCTTCTGGGCAGCTCCCAATTGTATTTTGATGGCTCAAGGCATTTTAATTATTCAGATGCACTAAAAAAACCACACACACACCTCAGTGCCTCTACTTTCTTTGGAAATTGATGATGTCTCAAAATTCCAACCATCGCCTCCGGTAAGAGCAGCGGTCCCAGAGACTCATTTAATTATCTTCCAGGTTTACTAGAGAGTCTTGTCAGGGTATAAAGGTTGTTGTGGCATCTTGATGAGAAGGACTCTGGTGCAGGTGAAGGGAGCTCTCTGGCTGGTCAGATCAGATTCCATCTGAAGATATGTGATGTGATGTTTCAAGGGACTGAAAAGAACAGCTATTTCTGTTGCCAACCATGGCTTGGTCACTACTGCCCAAGGAAAACCCTGATTGTGCTGCGAGAGGACTGCCGGCTGTTTCCACACACACCCTAACAAAATGTGAGGACCATTAGAAAAATCTGTTTTTCCTACCTCATTAGCAGCACTCTAAATCCCAACCATGCTCATGGGTTCTCTGCTGGTTTACAATGGACAAACAAGATGGCTTTGCCTCACTGTCAGCCTCCTCCTGCTTGGAGAATGTCCTGTCACGTTAATCCAACTTTCCTGTGGAGGAGAGGACCGGGAATGGTAATTAGGATTGCTAGAGTGCCATTATCTCACATGTGAATCTGCATACACTGCAAATTCTGAAGGACTCCCCACCCAGCTTATTGTATTGTATCCAACCCTTCCTCCAAGGAACTTACTGCAGCATACAACAGCCCTATGAAGTAGGTTAGGCAAAGAAGACAGCGGTTGGCCAAGGTTGCTTTAATTGAATCCATATCTGTATTCAGCAATGAAACTAGGTTTCTTGGTCCTGATCCAACACTCCAGCCACTACCCCTCAGTTGCCCACTTACTGCCCCTCTCCCAAAGCCCAGACATCCCTTCCTCATTCTGCTTGCAACTTAGGGGAGTTTGCATCTTTCTTTTGAAAGCTGGTATTGGAATGCTTCTGTAATAAATGAAAATCTGCCATTATTCCCTTATGGGGGACACAAGAGCCCTTATAGAGTCCTTTGTAGGTTCTCCATCGGTCGGAGAAAAGAACAAAGGCCAACCAGAGAATATTGAGAAGCAAAGCATCTCGTAAGCCTGATCTTTATTGAACTGTTGAAACAGGGTGCCCCCTTCACACGCAGGAGGAGGAGGACCCCGAACAAAGGTGTGCCCACCCTTATACAGTGGTGCCTCGCAAGACGAAATTAATCCGTTCCGCGAGAGTCTTCGTCTAGCGGTTTTTTCGTCTTGCGAAGCAACCCTATTAGCGGCTTAACGGATTAGCGCTATTAGCGGTTTAGCGGCTATTAAAGGCTTAAAGGCTTAGCGGATTAGCTGCTAAAAGGCTATTAAAGGCTATTAAAGGCTTAGCAGGTTAGATAAAGGGGGCGAAAAGCGGAAAAAAAATCTCAAGACTTGCAAGACATTTTCGTCTTGCGAAGCAAGCCCATAGGGAAATTCGTCCTGCGAAGCAACTCAAAAACGGAAAACCCTTTCGTCTAGCGGGTTTTCCATCTTGCGAGGCATTCGTCTTGCGGGGCACCACTGTATAGACATTTTAAATTGCCCACCTTAGAGTCCAAGACCACCCTCAGAAATATCATACATACATCACAGAAAGGGGTGGTCTACAACACAAATCTGAGTGTGTTGTTTATCTCCTGTCTGGCAGGTTACCTGTTAATGCTTACTTGATTGGATACCCTGGGGAGCCTGGCCAGTCTTTTGCAATGATAAATACTTAGTTCCTGAGCCAGGTCACAGGCTCACCCTATTCATACACAGACATACCCTTAAGACAGGATTTGTGAAGGAAAAGACAATGGGAGGGCTTTTCCATTTCCTTCGACCTTGCAGAGAAAACATTTGGTCATATATATAAAACACACACACACACACACACACACACACATATATATATATATATATATATATATATATATATATATATGACCTTATTTCTTTTATTTCAATTGGAAATCCAGGTTCTAATCCCCATTCAACTGTGAATCTCACTGGGCGACCTTGGTCAATTGCTATCTCTCAGCCTGTTTTACCTCCCAGGGTTGTTGTTGTGAAGATAGAATGTTGCTCTGGAGGAAAGACTACAACAGATGAACAAATGAACGCCCTCTGTACCCACTCTTTATCTGGTTTGGGCCCAGTATAACAGCAGAGTCTCACCTTCAAAGGACTGCAGCTAGGAGCTGCATTGCCCTGCCTAATAATTTTTTTAAAGTACTGTATATTTATGCTGTGACAGCTCCCATTTAAAGAATTAGAGCATTATTTTTTAAAAATAGTGGAATTTCAAAAAAGTGGTTACAGTGGTATCTTGGTTTAAGAACAGCCCAGTTTACAAACTATTCGGTTTACGAACTCTGCAAAACTGGAAGTAGTGTTCCGGTTTGCGAACTTTACCTCAGTCTAAGAGCGGACCTCATTAGGGAAAGCGTGCCTTGGTTTAAGAATGGTTTCGGTTTAAGAACGGACTTCCAGAACGGATTAAGTTCGTAAACCGAGGTACCACTGTGTTGTTGTTGTTTAGTCGTTTAGTCATGTCCGACTCTTCGTGACCCCATGGACCAGAGCAGGCCAGGCACTCCTGTCTTTCACTGCCTCCTGCAGTTTGGTCAGACTCATGTTTGTGGCTTCGAGAACACTGTCCAACCATCTCGTCCTCTGTCGTCCCCTTCTCCTTGTGCCCTCAATCTTTCCCAACATCAGGGTCTTTTCCAGGGAGTCTTCTCTTCTCATGAGGTGGCCAAAGTATTGGAGCCTCAGCTTCGGGATCTGTCTTTCCAGTGGGCACTCAGGGCTTATTTCCTTCAGAATGGATAGGTTTGATCTTCTTGCAGTCCATGTGACTCTCAAGAGTCTCCTCCAGCACCATAATTCAAAAGCATCAATTCTTCGGCGATCAGCCTTCTTTATGGTCCAGCTCTCACTTCCATACATCACTGCTGGGAAAACCATGGCTTTAACTATATGGACCTTTGTTGGCAAGGTGATGTCTCTGCTACCACTGTATTCCCCTCTAAAAGTGGGAGTGCTCCAAACTCCACCTACTTGATAGAACTTTCTTTATGTATGCTACAACAGCAGCAAGAATACTCATCGGGAAGTACTGGAAGACACAAGAATTGCCCACCCGAGAAGAATGGCAGATGAAAGTGATGGACTACATGGAATTGGCTGAGATGACCGGCAGAATTCGAGACCAGGGAGAAGGGTCGATGGAAGAAGACTGGAAAAAATTCAAAATATATCTTCAAAAGTACTGCAATATAAAAGAATGTTAGAAAGAGGTTGGAAAAAGAATATTAGGTCGTTCTGGTAGAGATGATATAATGGTCTAAGCAAAATGAGTTGATGAAATTGATGAAATAGAGGAGGTCTAATCACATTATTTTAATTTTAAAATACGTAAATGAAAATAAGGTTAGAAGGATTTGCTGGAAACACGATCTGAACTAGAATACAAAACTGGGAGGTGAGAGGAGGTCATGGAAATAAGTAAAGGGAAAAGGCTATGTAAAGGTTTAATCTGTTTTTGTTTTTTAACTCAATGTATTTTTATATTTTTTGTTAAGTTTTCTTTTTTATTCTATCTTATTGTTCTTTTTTACTTCTTTATTTCTTGCTTTGTTATGGCTAAAGTTTTCTTTGTATTTTGTATTGTTTTTCTTTTTCTTTTTTGGAACTTTAAATATGTAATAAATATTATTTTAAAAAAAACAAACAAACTCCACCTACTTGCCCTCCCCACTTGGTTCAGGGTGGATTTTTCAAGTATGGCATTGTTGGCTTTTTACTTGCAACCAGTCCAGGGGGAAGGCACTGCCTGTCTGCTTCCTTTCCCTTAATCTCAGTGTTGTAGAATTTAGCAGGGAGGCATTTAGGGGCAAAATGAGTTGACTCTGCCTCCTATTGGCTCTGGTTCCACCTCCTTTTGGTCTCTGTGCCTTCTACTCTGCAGAGCAACAGGCAGCACTGTATCTTATCTCTCACTTTGATCTGGGCTTTGGACTAGTCAGAAGCAACACAATTCCCCCTCGCTAGCTCTGCTTCTAATAATCTCTCCACACAGGGTGCAAAGTAAAAGGGTCACTTAGTTCAAGTTCTGCGGGAAGGTCCCGTGTGAAGCAAAAGTTGCCTCATACTTCAAGTCAGTTGTGTAGCGGAAAGAGAATGCAGGCGAGTGAAATTTCAGGACTTTTTTCGCCAAGCAGGACATCATCTTCTGCCACCGTAAATTCACTTGCTCTGGCAAGTGAATAAGGCTTTCAGGGTTGTTTGTGGCAGATTAGCAGAGAGGAACAGATGGAGGGAAATAATCAAGCAGAGGCTAATGCATATTTCCTTTTCTTTAATGGGGTTCCTACTTCACACTAACAGTTTAAACCGTAACACTTGTTTGCAAGATCCTTGTTTGCATTTCTTATTAAAAGCTGAAGGCTGGAATTCATGTGGATGTGGATCTTTTGCTAAATCTCAATGTGTTTTGAACCTAAGCAGTCTGGACGTAAGCATCAATGAGTTCATCTGGAGCGTACTCCCAGGAAACTGGGGGTGGTGGCCAACAAAGCAGTTCTGTTAGCAGAAGAACTTTGGGCTGCGCAACAGAGCTTCATCTCACCTTCCTTTCACTGCTTGCCCCCTAAATCTATTCTGGTGGTTCCTTCAAACCCCTGCAGCCAATTTGGGGAGGGTGCAGCAAGGACACATGGGGAGAGAAGAAGGAGAAGTTCCATTGTGCAAAGGGAAACCCATGTGCTAACACAGTGAGCAAACTGGATACCACCCTATGTGTAGGATTGCACCGCAGTGAATTCTCTGCAATGCGTAGAGAACTTAGAGAAGGGAGAACATTTCTCACTTTGTGCTGGGCATTTAGGGGATTGGTGAATGGTAGTCGCCATAATTGCCTGTGGTCCTCTGGCTATTGCCACTTTCTCTTGGGATGCAGGAGCTTTGCTTGGAGAAAGAGATAGGAGGAGGCAGACAGCTCATGAATTTCCAGAATGTGGGTCACACATTACTGTGCATTGCTAGCATGCATCCAGTGTAAGTCCAACCTGTACATTTGCTCCAGTGCACAATATCCTAAATCCTTAGCTCCTTAGGCTTCACTTATCATTTCCCATTATTAAACCGGCAACTAAATGTACTTATGAGAACAAACAGTGATGGGCAACGGTGGGAGGGGTTAAGGAAGCAGATTTGCACTCCCTATAGCTTTGATCACGGGGCTTTTTCTCCCCCTGCTATTTGTGAACTATTTGCTGCCTCCTTCCATGCTTGGCAAAGTGCTGATAAGTGGCTGCCTTTTGCCCTTGGGAGATGCTCAAGCCATCACAGTGCAAAACTCAGCAGCGCTGTCAAGGCTGATTGACTCCCAGCGGTCTGATCCTCAAAGACAACTAGCTCATCCCATTCCCCTTGTAAGCATCGGCAGCTGGGTGCCTGCTAAAGCCATTGACAAGTTAGCTCCGTGAAGCTGAGATGCCAACCATCTCTTCTCCTTACATACCACTTTCCCCCCAGCAAGAGAAAAAGCACAGCATAAATTAAGAAAGCAAGCGCTAAATTCTGTGGAAGTTCAATTTGCAATTCTAATTTGGTAACTGGACATTAGCTTTTCATAGGTATGAAGGACAGTAATATTCTGATTTCACAACACCCTGACTCACCTCAAATACCCTTTAATTTCTACCTTTATAACTTGGAAGGCTTTGCCATGCTGATAGGGGCAGGCATAGATGCAGATGGCTCCAGATTCAGTCCATTGCATCACTAATTAAAAGGATCACAGATAGCAAGGCGGTGAGGCCTCTCTGCCTGAAACGTTTGGAGGGCCCCTGCTGCTTGGAGAAGAGGAATGAGCTAGATGGACTAATGGCAGCTTCCTCTGCATAAGAGAAAATGTGTCTGCATGTCTTCAGCTGTTTTTTACGAATGTCACTAAGACTGCAATGCAAGCACACACTCGTGGGAGCAAGCCTCATTGAACATTGTGGGAATTATTTCTAAGTATACATGGAATAGGGACGGGGGTGGTGCTGTGGGTTAAACTACAGAGCCTAGGACTTGCTGATCAGAAGGTCGGCGGTTCGAATCCCCACGACAGGGTGAGCTCCCGTTGCTCGGTCCCTGCTCCTGCCAACCTAGCAGTTTAAAAGCACGTCAAAGTGCAGGTAGATAAATAGGTACCACTACAGCGGGAAGGTAAACGGCGTTTCTGTGCGCTGCTCTGGTTCGCCAGAAGCAGCTTAGTCATGCTGGCCACATGACCCGGAAGCTGTATGCCGGCTCCCTCAGCCAATAAAGCAAGATGAGCGCCGCAACCCCAGAGTGGGCCACGACTGAACCTAATGGTCAGGGGTCCCTTTACCTTTTATACATGGAATAGAATTGAGATGTAAGGATGATCTTTGCTCTGGAACAAGTCCTTGAGGAATGCTGTTATGACAGAAAATGGTGGCAAAGAGCCGTGTCTGCGTGGCATGTATGATACAACCAAGGAATCTGGGTTTCTGCTTACAGTGCTATGAAATGCATAACCTAATGTGACCATTGACTGTTGAAACAGGCCACATTGTAACTCAAAGGCATCTATTTCCCTGTTCACCATGACTCTCCCACTAAGAAAAAGAAAGGTTCATTCACATGTAGCCCACTGGCTATACCTGTTCACTGTCTAAGCTTGGGCTTGATGTTTCTCAACAGCCCTAGGTGCAGGCCAGTTTTCTCTAGCTGGTGACAATGGAAATTATGTGACATGTCTGATGAATTTGATGCTGCTTCATCATCATCGTGAAGAGGCTAGAGTGCAGGGCTTTGTTGGAGAGTCCATGGTACATGTAATGTAATTGCTTCTTTGCTGCAGATGCTCACAAGCATGCTTGGAAAACATTGCACCGCTCATAATAACAAGCATATACACAGAGCCAAAACATGCTTATTAATTATTCCATATGGCTTCCCCTCTGCGTGTGTCCTTGCTTGTCCTCTCTAAAGGGATACAAAAATGTGTCTGTTACATTCTGGGATCCCATCCCATTTCCACTCTTACGCTTAACTTGGAGGAATGTATTCTGCCAAGCAGAGCTAAGGGACACGTTATAACATTGCTAAATGGAACTCAATTGCTGTGTAGGGGAATTGGTGTAATCTGTAAAGTGCAGAGGCTTTGAAAATGTGATTGGCTTCTGTTTATTTTCACAACTTTATCAGGGCCCCTTCGGACTTCTTTTGTGGGTGTATTCAGCAACAAGTTATTAACACAATAATAATGATAATAATATTAATTTGTTAGTTGTACTGGACTGTCCGCACATTTTCTGCTTCTTTTTAGTTGTTCAGCAATGCTTCCCAAATGGTACGGCATTATCGCCATCTGGAGGGACATTCTTGTGCTATATAGAGAAACAAAAGCGGGACAGCCCCCCACCCCCCGCAGAACATTTGTGGTATGAAAAACTACAGGGTTTAAGTAGGAAGCTATGGGCCATGCCTCCCGCCAACCTAGCTGTTTGAAAGCATGTCAAAGTGCAAGTAGATAGATAGGTACCACTCTGGGGGGAAGGTGGAAGAAGAGTTTGGATTTGATATCCCGCTTTATCACTACCCTAAGGAGCCTCAAAGCGGCTAACAATCTCCTTTCCCTTCCTCCCCCACAACAAACACTCTGTGAGGTGAGTGGGGCTGAGAAACTTCAGAGAAGTGTGACTAGCCCAAGGTCACCCAGCAGCTGCATGTGGAGGAGCGGGGATGCGAACCCGGTTCACCAGATTACGAGTCTACTGCTCTTAACCACTATACCACACTGGCTCCCAGTGTTTCCGTGCGCTGCTCTGGTTTCGCCAGAAGCAGCTTAGTCATGCTGGTCACATGATCTGGAAAAACTGTCTGCGGACAAATGTCAGCTCCCTCGGCCAGTAAAGCGAGATGAGCGCTGCAACCACAGAGTTGTTCGCGACTGGACTTAACTGTCAGGGGCCCTTTACCTTTACAGGCCATGCACTGCTTGGAAACATAGCAGAATGTCTGTCCCAAAACAGTTGCAGGCACAGACAGTTTTGGACTGCAATTGGCATTGCATATAAGCAAACCAATGCTATCATGAGTACAAGTCATTGAGAAAAAAAGACACTGAAGGAGACCTTGGTGGTTCATGGCTGTGAATCAATTAAAGCAGTGGTCATTTAGCATGCCTTGGAGAAATGTGTTCTTGCCCCCTCTGCTGATGTACTCAAGCTTGCCTTGCCTTTCTCCACCAGTTTTCAATTTCTCTGTTGCTTCGCCTCTCCAATTTAGCACGTTACCCCTTGAGCTCTTCCTCACATTCTTGTGGCCTCCATTTTGAATGCCATATTGTCAACAGCATGGGTATGTGTGTATGTGTGTGTGAGAGAGAGCTGACTCTCAAACATTTGCCACCGCATCAGCAACTTTTCCTCATGAAGGCTGGGAGATTTGTTCTATCCGCCTTCCCACCTCAAACAGAGAGCTGTGGCTTTGGGAAAACATGTGCTCTCCATATGTGTCAGTACAAAAAATGTGGGCTAAAAAAAGGGGGGGGGTTGGAGAGGGGAGAACTGAAATCCTGTTTCTAAAAGCTGGGAAAGAGCATAAATCTCCAAGCAAATGGAGGAGGGATAAAAAAATAATATATTGCAAAATAAGCCCACAGCCAAGTAACCTAATGGGCAGCTAGCCACAGATATGTTGCCATGGAGACAGAAGATGCTTAGCACTGCCGCTGTGGGGGGAGGGGAAGGCTTTGCATGGCCTCCTGGTGGGCTCAGAATTGCATTTCCTCCTCCATCCTTTTCCCCTCCCCCATTCCAAACTCTTCCTATGGAGGTTAATCCTTGGGGTTGGAGCAGCAGCAGCAGGCAACAAAATCTTCCACCCAGCATCTGGGATGTGTGTATGTTGAAGGAAGGGGTGTGTGTGTGTGTGTGTGTGTGTGTGTGTGCTTCCTAGCAGGATCAGGAAGAAAGGCCCCGCAATCTAATTCCATTTGCTAAGCTCCGTAACACAAGAAAAACTGAAGCATCAATACCTATGACTCTGTCTGATACATTTACTATTTATGGCATGAATCAGAGAGCTGTGGGCATTAACATTCCTCCACAGCCCTGCTTCCCATCCACAGTAAGGCATGGTCTGTGGCACATGTATGACTCTCTTGTTTCAAAAGCTGGTCTCCGTTTCATTCTCATAGATACCTCCTACATTGGGGGGAACCACTTAAGAGTACAATTCCCTTATAGTGGTCTAGAAATGAAGTGGGACATGTGGATAGCTCAGTTGGTTAGAGCGTGGTGCTGATAATGCCAAGGTTGCAGGTTCAATCCCCGTTTGGGACAGCTGCCTATTCCTGCATTGCAGGGGGTTGGAATAGATCAGGGGCTGTCAACCTGGCCCCTACCGCCCACTAGTGGGCGTTTTAGGATTCTAGGTGGGCGGTAGGGGGTTCTACGGCACAAGCTGAATCTTCCTTCCATTGAACACTGGTGGGTGGTAAGGAAATTTTACCATCAAGAAAGAGGCATTAGTGGACGGTAGGTATAAAAAGGTTGACTACCCCTGGACTAGATGATCCTCAGTTTCCCTTCCAACTCTATGATTCTGTGAAATGCAAACTTCGGTAGATGTGCATGTTTATCCACCATGCAAATGTTTGTGGGGTTTTGAAACGCAAAAGGGCCACTCCTTCACAAGCAGCTTTTTTGCAAGCTGTGTGTGTGTGTATGTGTATGTGTGCGCCATATGGTATTAATACACCAGAAATTATAGTTGAACTACTGTTGTGCGCGTGTTCACATATGTGCATAGTCCTCCCCACCCAATATGAAAATACACTGAAGTCTTTGGGCATACTGAACTTCTATTTAAAATGCTACAACACAATACTAAAAAGGTAATAAAATGGCAGCTGGCAGGAAAATGGTTTCAAGCAGTTTAAAAGCAATAAGGAGAAACACTGGAGAAACATTGTAAGAATAATACTTGAGCGAAGAAGAGAATTGACAACACCCACAGGGCTGGGGAACCTGTGGCCCTCCATAAGTTTTTGCTCTACATTTCTCCATCATCCTGACCCTGACCATTGGAGCTGGGGCTGATGGAAGGTCGAATCCAACAAAATCTGGAGGGAAGAGTGTTCTCCACTTCTCCTATAATGCCCAGTATGGCCAAGACACAGGCAAAAAGGCTTTGAGAAATCTCTGCTCCCCACTGTGAACATCAACAGATGCTCAACCAGCACTCTCCCTTTATTAAGAACCGCAGCTGCTCACTTCTATTTTGCATCTGCTTTGGCTTCCATGTAACAGGGCTTAACTAAGGCAACCAGGAAAAAAAGGGGCCACTTTAACACAGGAGCTGAGCCACAGGTGGGAGAGGAATGATGTTAAGTGGGTGGGGTTAAGTAGAGGAGAGCTAAGGCCCTTCCCCCAAAACCTGCAGGACCTGCAAAAGCAGGAGAGGCTGGTCTCTATTAAGGCAAAATTTACTTGCTTACGTTGCACAGTTTACATACTGCTCGATGGTAGTAAAACTTCTAAGCAGTTTACAATAAATATAAAAAACACTAAGGTTGAAACACATCAACACAGCTGGATAGGATTGCCTAAACTAGGTGCTACAAGCAGTCTGGGGGTGGCACTAGCCGGTACTTTTTGCTTCTCAGTCTCCATGTTGCTGCTGTATAACTCGGCAAGGAGGGTGCTGGGGGCAAAAATAGAATTAGTTGGCTGTGCCTGTTTTTGGTTCTGGCTCTACCTACTGTGGACATCTCCAGCTTTCACCCTGCAAGTCCCAATAGGCACCAGTTACCACTGCCTGCAAGCATCTTCTTGACCCCACTGCCTTCCGTGCTGTTTCTTCACCTACAGTCACACACGCCCTTCTTAAATCTACATTTCTAGCTCTGGGAACTTCTTCCCTTAGAGCAGGTCAAGGTCTTCCCTTGGCTTTGACCCTTTCCCAAGGATGGGGTGTCCCTGACCCTTCCGCCCTGCTTTTCAATGCTCCTCTCTTTAATGGGTTTCAGACTCGCCAATTAAATTACCAGTCACCAAGGCAGCTGCTCAAGAGAAGCCTTTATTACCTATTCCCTGGCTCTGAGTTAATCCCTTTCAAGTGAGCAGCCACATTATCCAAGCAAGAGGCCCCAACCTCACATAAATGGTTAATTAAATCCTAGTCTGCAGGGTGCCAGCTGGCCACTTTCCCCTCTCAATAACCTCTTGCTAATAATGCTGGTGCTTAATGATGGGGCAGATATTAGAATAGAGGGATGTGCCCTATAATGTATGGAATTAGCTTTATTAATATAGCCCTTTTTATACCAGTAGAAGAAGATGGAGGGCTACATAAGTGAAAATACAAGACAGCCAGCTGAGTTGGGCTTTCTCCACCCATTGCTTGAGTAAGCAGATGAGTTTTAACTTCTATTTCTGGGAACTTATTTCCTGAGTTTCCCATCTGTGTGTGTGTGTGTAGTTAGCAAGAGGGCAACTTCTGCTGCTCACAAAGTATAACCAAACAATACTATGCATGTCAGAGAAAACTCTCATATGGGCTGGTTCACACATGCGCATAAGCACATGATTTCTGTGTATGGATTGATTCCATTGAAACCCCATGTGTCTAAGGAAACACGAATGTTCTACCTGTTCAGTATTTGATGGCTTGTTCACACATGAAAGCCATCCATTAACCTTCTAGAACAGGGGTTCCTAAACTACTCCACACAACCACCTAATGGATCACTTGAAAATTGCTGGGACTCTGGAGGGACCACTTAATGGTTTTTCTGCCTTTTGTAGAAAATTTCAATGCACTGTGCTAGATGCTGTATGATTTTTAATTGCAGTTTATTACATTACAATTTGAATTCAAACTGAATTCAAATTGTAATACAATAGATAAAAACATAAAAGATGCAACAAAACACACACACACATACATATATAATGCAATGGATACATGCAGGGCTGGATTTAGGTTTGATGAGGCCCTAAGCTATTGAAGGTAATGGGGCCCTTTATATGTCCAGCTGTCCTTTGTCAACAACAAATTGCCACTGTTTTTTGTGTTGAATATTTTAGGGAGCAGGCGGGGCCCCATTACTTACATCATAGGAGCTTACACAACACAAAACACTGTTGCTATATGTAGATTTTATTTTATTTGTTTTTAATCTTCTATTTTGGAAATGTATATCCAGTTTTCCCCCCTTTAAATTTTTTGGGGCCCCCCAAGAGAGTGGGGCCCTAAGCTATAGCTTGTTTAGCTTATACATAAATTGGGCACTGGATGAATGGAACAAGAAATTGAGGGAATTTACTGAGGGATTTGTGTGTGTAGGTAGGATTGGTTGCAAAAGGCAAGTCATCTGTTTAAGGAGGGTTGGGAGGGAATAGGCTGACAAGGCTTGTGCTCAAAGCTTTCCACAGATGCCGGGTTATCGATCCAAATCCCTCATTTCCTGTTCTGCCCCTTCACCCTTTCTCCCCAAACCTCCCCCTGCCTATTTACTCACAAGCAATCCTACCCCCACCCACGCCAAAACCAATGGTAGAGGTGCAGAAAGTTGCCGCCTCGGCTCGGCAGCTTCTTGCAAGCAAGCCTCGCGGATCCGCAGCCTGACCTTACCTGGTGGCCTCGACGATGCCAGCCGTCCAGGATGGCTGTTGAAGGAAAACAAGAGACTTCTGCTTCAAACGGGGAGGGCGCGGAGGTATGGGGGGGGCAAAGGAAACTTGGAAGGCATAAGAGGGGCTCTTATTGCACTTGAGGGAGGGTGGGAAAGGAAAAGCAAGCGCTCGCCTGGCGCGCCGTGACCGGAAAAGAGCCTTGGCACGCAGGCGCAAACATGGAGGAGAAAGCGCGGGAAAGGCCGCCAGAAAGTGGCGTCCTTCTCGACGCGCTCGCCAGCTCCCTGCCTCTTGTGGCTATCGCAGCTTAAAGGCCCCGAAGGAGCCAAGGGGGGTTGCACTAGTAGCAGCTGAGGAGGGAGGTCGGACGAGGAGCTCCCCTCTCCCGTCTCAACAAAGCCCAGGCTTCTTAGGAGGGAGCTGTGGCTGCGGCTCTTTGGAAGACCACCAGCAGCAGAAAGCTCGCTGACGACCACCAGTGGTCCAAGGAATTGGGGAACCTCTGCTGTAGAGATCAAGCCATGACTCGCAGTGCCGGATTTACGTATAAGCTAAACAAGCTATAGCTTAGGGCCCCACTCTCTTGGGGCCCCCCAAAGAATTTAAAGGGGGGGGGAACCCTGTCTGTACATTTCCAAAATATAAGATTGAAAACAAATAAAATAAAACCTACCTACAGCAACAGTGTTTTGTGTTGTGTAGGCTCCTTTGATGTAAGTAATGGGCCCCGCCTGCTAGCCTGCTCCTTAAAATATCACTGGTTTGCTCATTTCTATATACAGTGGTACTTTAGTTCTCAAACTTATGTTATAGCAAGTTTCTAGGCAGTGGTGGCCAAACTTGGCCCTCCAGCTGTTTTGGGACTACAGTTCCCATCATCCTTGACCACTGGTCCTGTTAGCTAGGGATGATGGGAGTTGTAGTCAAAAAACATCAGAGGGCCGAGTTTGGCCACCATTGCCTTAGGTACTGAATGACTGCTCCATGGTACAAGTGACCTCATTGAGCATTTCAATTTCAAATATTCTGATTATTTCTACTTTTAGTTAAGTATTTTTATTTACTTACTTAACGGTGGGGCAGCGGTTACACCCATGCACACTTGTGTCTGTTCTCACACGCAGAAGTGCAGCATCTGTGGCAGAGGAGTGGGGACTTGCCACACTCCAGATGCCATTGGTTTCCAGCTCTCATCAGCCCAAGCCAATGTGGCCCCTGTGAGAACAGGATACTTAGCAAGATAGGCCTTTGGTCTCATCCAGCATGTCTCTACTTGCGTTCTTATTGTGATGGGAGTTTAAGTCCAATGGCATCTGGAGGGCCACAGGTGCCCCATCCCTGCTCTCTATGACTTCTCCTCCATCTTTCCCCAAAATATAATGGCCTGCTTGGCCAGAGTCATGACTGTCAGTGTAGTTACTCTCTGATTTCACAGCTGCCAAGATCCCAGGCTTGAACTGGAGGCATTTGACCCTTCAGAAGTTGCCTGACATCATTTTTCCTTTATCTCCAGCCACTAAAAACTTAACTACAAAGACATTAAAAAGAAGGTTTTCCCACGCTCAAGTGATTCTGCACTACAAGCCGATATTGACATACAGTTACAGTTGCTTAGTAGTCAGGGTACTCTCAGCAACAACTCCAGCTCACTCCTCTTTGGCAGTGGACCAAATGGATGCACTCATCCGGCCCTGTAGTTAACCACCAATCTCTAAAAGAAGACTCTCAGTGGTATGCACATTTTGTGGCTAAGGGGCATTGACTGAAAGATGCTCTTACACAACTTTGATAATGACATTGTTTGGTCAATACGTTCCTGTCTTCACAGGAACATACTGGAGCAGGGAACCACTGTACTATCACACTTGTAACGCTCCTTTTCATAGAAGGGTCATCTAGATACCCCCCCCCCCCACAATGCAGGAATCTTTTGCCCAATGTGGGGCTCGAACCCACAACACTGAGATCAAGAGTTTGCTGCTCTACTGCCTGAGCCATTTTGGTCCAGCTAAATCTTTACCGGCCCCACACCTGACATTAAGTATGATGTCAGGTGTAGGGCAAGTGGGCAGGGCCTAACTGGGCCCACAGGCTGAAGATTCCCCACTGCTGAGCTACAATATGCAGTGAGCCATGCTAAAATATTTTGACCTTGTTCTCTTGATTTTGAATTCCATTAGCCTTGATCCTTATGTGACCATGTTGGGTCACCTGAATGGCATGGGTCCTTGCCCCATCAGCATTGCTCCTTCCCTTTGGTACTTGACAAATGCTCTCCACCCCTTTTAATTGTGAGGGAAACGGATATTCACAGGACTGATAACAGAAGAGTGGTACTAGGAAACCATCCATGAAAAAATACAGATAGTGAATGCGTTTGTTGAGATTTCTCCACAACAGAAGTTGTAACCTTTGATTCCATGCAATAACTTTACACTCTTCATGGTATATTGGAAATCCACCTGGAAATTATCTCATTAAAACATCAAGGTACTAAGCATGAGTGATAATAAAGTTGGTGGCTGTCGTCATCTCTCAGCTCTTTTAGATTTTTAATTGTGCAGGGAACTGAGATGCGTTGGTTCTGGTGCCTTCTCTAAATATACCAGTCCATGGAAACAAAGCACACATTTGCTTGCATGAAAACCGAATAGATTTAAGGTCCTGTTTTGCTAGCTGTCATGGGGAATTAAGTAATGATCAATATGGATATATGGCTTGTTGCAAGCCATGCATATCCCAGATCTCTCCAAGCTATTGCTTCACATTCCCAGCAGACATCTGCCTTGGTTTGCTTAAAACTCAAGGCTGTATTTTTATTAGTGTTTCCACAGTCCTGAAAGAGACTGTGCAAGTATTGAAATTAGTTCAAAATTAAATTCATCTAGCCCAATGTCTCTGGTAGATGTGCTAAGGAAGGACATGGCAAGTGGTACAGCTCTGTTCAATCAAAGCTTTGAGAAAGCATAGAGAGGTTCAGGGGTAGACAGACATGAGCTGAGGGAATGGCTGATCTGCCTGTCATTAATACTATTAGTGGTATAAGTATACTGTCATGAGCTTGTTTGACCTTCTTTTGAATTAAGTTAGGCCGCCGACTCCTATGGCATCAAACAACAGCCCAAGGATGCGTCTACCATAATCATCAAACAACTTCATGGCTTGCTCCTTTGGGTTGACAGCTCCAAAGGTTTGCAACCATTCCTGTTGAAGAGAATGTACTTCACAAATCAACTGTTAAATCACGACAAGATCACTCTTGTAAGAAGCAGAGTAGAAACAACGAGCAAACAAAACAACCCCAGAAACGGTATGATTTGCATTTTGATTCTTTATTAAAAGGACCCTATGTGCCAGGTTCAATTCTTTGTAAACCAGGCTTTGAAAACAATGTGCAAATAAAGGCATGGGGTGAAGGGGTTATAATGGAAATAGCTATATCCCTAGTACTTCCAGGAAAGAAGGTAACCCAGCTAGAGCATAATGCTCATATTTTATTTTTTCCTCTCTCCCCCACCTGCTCAGCCACTGTTCCTGAGCTTGCTATCTGCTCTATCCTGGCGAGTGGGAACCTGTAGCACTCCAGTGTTGCTGGACTACTCAAACTCCCATCATCCCCGATCACTGGGCCACACTGCCTGAGGCCGAAGGGGAGCTGTAGACCAACAACATTTGGAGGGCAACAGGACCCCCAGCCCTGCTCTAGCCCACAACTCTGTTGTGGGGGTTGGGGGAGATGGCCACCACAGATCTTGGGGCTCAGTAGGCACTGTGTGTGTGTGTGTGTGTGTGTGTGCGCGCGCATGTGTGTATTCTGCTAGGCCAAAAAGAAACAAAACATAATTTCCCACCTGCCTCCCCCATAACCCTTGTGCTAAAATAGAATTCAAAAAGATAGCAAAACAAAGAGAGACAGGGAGAGGGATAGACAATCACTTTCAGTGCATCACTTCCTCAACACCCCCCACTCTCTTCCCTTCCCTCTCCCCACCTTAAATGTTTGTGTGCTGTGAATAATAAAAATAAAAAAACCTATATAAAAGGGGAATTGGGGACAAACTCTCCTTTTCTATGGAACTAAGGAGAAAGTTTCTTTTTGATACCAGGAGGAGGAGAGAAAACGCTGCAATGAGGCATCAGTTCAGCCTCTTGAGGTTGTCCATTCTAAAGCCAGTACCAAGGGGCTGTGCAGCATTTATATTATATCAAGTTTATCTCCTTTTCCCTGAACGTCCCCTCGAATTGCACTTAGATTGGATGGGGGCTTCCCTCTTGCCCTCTCCCTGTCCAATGAAGTGAATGGGGAAAAAGGGGAACTGAGAAGAAATCAGGGCGCTGAGAGACTATCCAACCATGTGGGATGGATTCTGCCTCGTGGCTTGGTTTGGCTGCAGGTGCTCAGCAATCCGACAAAGCCAGGGGGAGAGCGCTTTCCACCGAGCTGATACGGACAGCATCTCTTTCCTGCCAAGTGACAATGCATTGATTCCTTTGAATTCTACAGCTTCCACCCAAGGATTCTCAAACGTACTCTCCTATCCTCAAACCAAAATGCATAAAAAGAAACCACACTGTCTCTGGTCAGCGCTTTTCAGCTCGGCTAACTTCTGTTCCGGAAGTGAGTGGAAGAGCAAAGTGGAGGCAAAGCTGGTCTGAACATGGGTGGTGGTCGCCCAGCCTAATCCTCTATAGTCCATTCAAGATAGCTTCAGAGACTGGGATTCCTCTTCGGCCTTTGTTGCCGCTCCCCCAAAGAACCATCATGACATCGCAGTGGGTGGGTCTTCTTGAGTCTGCCTCTCTCTCATTGGCCAGTTGCTAGTTACTGAGAACATGTTCCTATGGACAGCACCCTACTAGGTGCTGCCATTGAGCTCCTTGGAGCACTGGCTGCAGTAGTCCAAGTGGCTCATATTTACAGCTTGTGGAGCCCTAACCCGTTCCCCTCCGAGCTTTGGTTGGTGAACAAAAATAAAAAATCAAAATCAAACCCAGAGAGACTATTCTGAAAAACATCAATTCCCTACTTCTTTGCCTGCCTAGAACGTTGATCTGCAAGAAGGTGGTCTGCAACACCAAACATTGTCTTAGCTTTGGGGCTCCCAATCTTTTACCCTGTTGCCTTTCTTCCTTCCTTCAACTCTACGCCTGAAAACAGGCACATCTCCTGTCCTGCTCCAGGTGTGTGTTTGCAAACAGGTAGTTCCTTTGAAGAGCACTGTGCAATACTAGAAGCAGCAGCAGTCAATGATTCCAAACTCAACTATGACTGATTGTCTCCCACATGATCTTCTCATTGCCTCTGAAAATAATAATAATTCTGGACCCGAAATGTTCTTCATTATTGTTATTATTATTATTATATCCATTATTTTGTTCTTCTTTAGCCATATTTTCTTCTCTTTTTTTCTTCTCTCTTTTAGAAATGTCAAACAAAAGAAGAAAACCCAGCAATAGGGGCTCTGGACCCTGGGGCAAGGCTACTGGGGGGTCGGTAAAGGGTGCTCTGCTGGCTGGGAGGGTTGACTGGGGTTTGTGGGGTTGGAGTCCTACTGGGTTTGGGTCGGAAGAGGCTGCCCTGTTGGGTGCTGGTGCTGTTGGACATTGGGCAGTGGTCAGGGTCTCCGGAGTCACTCTCTGTGTAACTGTAGGCCTGAGCCCGGGAGATGCCCTTTTGCTGGCGCCTCCATGAGTTGTAATAAGTTGGGTCGCTGATGTAATGGTTGACGAAAGAATGGGCTTTCTGTTGGTTCTGGTCCACTTCGTACTCACTGTCACTTCCCTGTGGAGGGAAAGGGAAAGACAAGAAGAATATTAGAAGAGATCTGCTGGATTAGACCCAAGGGTATGGTTACCAGATTATTTTCAATGAAATCGGGGACCCCCTCTTTTTTTTAAGCTGAGTAGCAACAGGGAGTCAGTAGTGGGGATGGTGAGGCAAAAGACCCTGGGCCCAAGCACACATGCATATTGTATAAAGGTGCAAAGCCCTTCTTTTGAACCCTGTGAAACCTAAATGTGCAGAGTTTTTAAAAATCTGGGCAACAGCGCACCGCCCACCCATGACTCCCAATCCTTCCCCGATCTCCTGCCCCCTTTCCCTTTTGTTTTGACAGATTGGGGGAGGCTTGGGAGCCGAGGGTGGGTGCTGCCCATGAGGGGCGCAAGGGGCGCGGTTTCTCTGCCAGGCAAGGTGCAAAACCCTTCTCTCTTACCTTGTGAGACATAAATGTGCAGAGTTTTTAAAAAACTGGGCAATGGCCAGCCACCCTCAACTCCCGAGCCTCCCTCAATTAGTCAAAACAAAGGGGGAAGGGGGCAGGAGTTCTGTAGTGCCAGACGTCCCCGGTTCCCCTTTGGCAGTGGCACAAACCACATCATATGGGGACTTCCGGCGAGGAAAAATGGCGGGTGCCACGGCAGTGAGCAGCCCCTGAAGCCAGCCAGAGCCAACTGCAGTACCAGGCTGGCTCCGGGCTGCTGAGGCTGCTGCTGCCACGTTTCCCGGGGACAGATTTGCAAATCTGGGGACATTCTGGGGACGGAATTTGTCTGGGGACAGATTTGCAAATCCGGGGACATCTGGTAAGCCTACCCAAGGGCCCATCTACATAGACTAGCAACTTGTTTTCACAGTGGGAAGCCTCACAGTATTTTAGTGGATTATGATATATATGGAAGATTTCTAGTTCCATAAGCAAACACAGCCAGAGAAGATGGTTACCTGATGCAATCCACTCTCTCTCCTCAGCATTTTTTGGGTCTCAAACAGCAGGGATTCATCAACACTATGATTATTACTAATATTATTATCATTAGTAGCAGTATGCCGCCCTATACCCGGTGGTTCACAACATAAAATCACGATATAAAAAACACAAAATACACAATAAAAACAAAAACAAAGACAACTCTTTCACAACACATTTTAAAGGGGCATCAGATATCAATCAGCCAAAGACCTGGATAAAGAGGAGCAGTTTTTGACTGGCGCCTAAAGGTATA